TGTGTGTGTGTGTGTGTGTGTGTGTGTGTGTGTGTGTGTGTGTGTGTGTGTGTGTTGCTATTGACTCCTTCACAAGGTTGAGGATTTCCAAAGGCCAAGCCACCTACAGCTCCATATGCCTTTTACATAACAATTCTGCATCTCCTAAGCTTTCGCTTGTCATCCTTACCGCGTTCTCTCTCTCGCTCGCTCGCTCGCTCCCCCCCCCCCATTCCCTCCCTCGGGGGTTACCGCTGCTGTGGTGGGAACAAGAAGAGCCCAAGCTCCTTGCTGCTTTGCTCTGCTCTTTATAATGGCAAATGGGGCTAAATTGTTGTCTTCCTGTCATGCACACACATACAAGTCCCACACACACATTTACAGAGGAAGGGGGCTGAAATTAGGCTGTCAGTCTGTTGGGAACCATCATTCAGTCATACCAGCACTCTCCCGCTCTTTTCTACCTCTGACAAATGCACACACACAAACGCCCACCTTCCCTTTCACTTTTCCCTGCCTTTTTCCTTGCGTCCCACTCCTGGCTTGAGGCGAAAAAATAACATCAACATGGCAAATAATAAAACCACCCAGTCTCCGCATGCTGCTTCAGAGCAGCATCTGTTTGTGCTCATTAACCTGACTTGTATATACGATTCAGTTTCCCATTCACTTACTCACTGGGCTCTTCAGTCGCTCGCTCACCTCGTCCATTGACTCGGTTACAACACACTGTCTTCTACTCGCGCCGGTTTCTCTCTCTTCACATTCTGCTCCCTGAGTCACTCATCGACGACGCTCTCCATACCTCCTCACTCCCTCCTTTTTTAGTTTTTCGTCTACGGCAAACGCACCACAGTTTTTATTCCATGGTCTTTCTTGGCATGGCTTAAAAAGAGCCTTTTTCCTCCCTCTGTGGATGTTATTATGGGGTTTCTCCTCCAGTCCCGTCACTGGAGAGGAAAGTAAAGTGGGCCCCCTGGCCTGAAAAGCTGTTGAATCGCTTAACACACTGACTGGTTGAAAGGGCCTGCGGGTCTGACTGGGGTGACTGTGACTGTCGGCCAGCTGACTGACCGAAAGGCCGTCGGCGGGGATAAAGCGCGACAGAGCAGGTGACTGGCAGGTTAAAGTTAACACATTCAAAGTGGGTTTCACATCGGAGAGCCTCGTCCGAAGCTCTGGCATCGGTCCGCTCCGGACATGTGTGTACAGTTCAAACACATCGACACACAGACCTTCCTTTTCGTCTTTTCCTCTGCCAGCTTCTTCTCTCTGTGTTTATCACTTGCTCCATCTGCCTGCAGTATCTGCCATGCCTAATGGAGTGTGTATATTATCCTGTGCGCGGCCTTGCTTACAATCAATCATATAGTCCAGGGGTCTTCAACGTTTTTCAGGCCAAGGATCATCAAACTGATAGAGAGATGGAGCAGGGACCCCCGACTATATATATTGTATGAAATTGTATTTTATATTAAATGGGCCTAGTACCGTGTATACCTCTTTATTGTGCATTCAATACTAAGCTATTCAAATAATACACAGGTTCATATATTCATGTTTTTATTTTAAACATGTGCACGGTACAGTGAGTAGGGTGGCCGTGCCACTGCCATTTATAAACATACCTTGTCAACTGATACCAATGCCAATATCAACATTGTTTGTCAATTGCATGATAATCATGCATACAAGCTATTCAAATTGACGTTTTTATTTTAAACATAAATATGGAAACGAAAAATGAGTGATGGCCTATTACTGCCACTGCCATGCATAAACATACCTGTTATCTTTCATACAATACTGAACTATTAAAATAATGGACACATTCATGTTTAGAATTGTCTAATCAACCAAAGATTTCGCAGACTCCCTGTTGAAGACCTCTGATATAGTCTATTGTGGTGTGTGTGTGTGTGTGTGTGTGTGCGTGTGCGTGTGTGTGTGTGTGTGTGTGTGTGTATGCGTGCGTGTGTGTACACGTGTGTGGATGTACTGTTGTCATTGGGGCTAAGCGTGCCTCAGCATTAATCAGGCTTGACCACTGAATGGTGGCCCCTATGTCTGAACTTACTCAAACACACAAACACTCATAAAATGTGTAAATAAATGCAAAACAGCTCAACTTTTCTTGGCTTACCTTAGTTTCCAGTTTGTTTGTACCCGGACTTCAAATTTTCCGTTGTATTTAAAATGTTCAATCCAGTACTTCATATCTAAAGTTCCTAGCAGATTTAATTGATATTGATTTTATTTAACAATTGATTCGTCGACATATTGGCAAAGTTATATGTTTTGAAACTGGCGTACCCTTCACCTTAAAATTGTCACATGAAATTACAATAAATGCCAGAATGAGTAACAAATAATTTACGTAATAATTTACGTTTTTAGCTTTTATGTATTGATCACAATTCTGCTCCTAAGAGTGTGCTATAATAAATGTTATGAGCGTATGATTAAGCTTCTAAATATGTGTTACTGCCTCACAGATTCTCTCTTGGTTTCGGTCCATGTCCGTGAAAACATTCCAGCTGTCCCTAAACTGCTATTTTCAAAGACTAACTTTGATGTGAAATGACATAAGCTAAATGATTTCAAATGTCCTCACAGTTTAACAATTCGCTGTCACGCTAAATTACTGTAAACCACGCCATCAGATGTCCCTAAATGAATGAAAAACAGCATGAAGTTGCATGTTTTTTGTCAACTTTAAAAATGTGAGATAAACAACACATGCCTGCATGTATGTGTGTGTGTGTGTTTGCAGGTGGACAGCGACACCATTTGGAACGAGGTCCATTCATCCAGTGCGGCTCGTCTGGCCGTCGGCTCGGTGGTGGAGCTGGTCTTCAAAGTAGCGTCGGGTGAACTGAAGGTTAGTTTGGATACTTTGAGTCAAATGAGCAGCAAAGTCGTGGCTGTTTGCTGGGCTTTATTTTTAGGGACTACAGTCAACATTAATAAGATCGAGCTAACACGAAACAAAGCTCAGATGGACCCCACCAAGATAAGTCCATGACTAGCACTGGGAAGGCCTTTATTTTAGTCACTAATGGATTACTTAAACCCTTGTTACGGCGCCTCATAGCAATGTACTACCCATTCACGCCTCCAAACACCTCAAGAAAGGAGAAACCTCCTGCCAGAACCATCCACCCCAAAGTCTCGTTAGCACCTCCCAGACAGACATCCCCACCCCCGTCATGCTTTGCCCCACCAGCCAGCCTTCCTGTGTCTGTGGCGATGGCTGCTCACTGTTTGAACCCAGCAGGGAGGCCCTGCTCACGGGCACTGCAAATGCCAGCAGTCCCCACTAACAGGCCCGTTTTATTGGCATTACACGACAGCCACCTGCAGAGCAGCCGTCGCACTTAGTGTTAGCTTAGCACCAGCATGCCACACACTAATGACATTCCTCTGAGAGACAGTAGCACGCCATATTTTTGACTATATGTGCTTGCATTCAGTACTTTTTCTACATATGGGCAGGATTACTATGAAGAAATAAGGGTCTACAATGTCTAGAACATTGTCTGATTGGCATAAGAGGTAAATCACATTAATCACATTAACTGAAACATGAATAATCAACCCGGTCTAAACACACGCCACACACGCCATTATTAGACACAACAAACATAGTATTAAGAGCGGGTGGGTCAAACAAACGCAGGACTTTTCTTCCAGGAGACCGCTGCGAAACTAAAAGTAGACACCTCTAGTCACTTGATAGTTACACGAGTCTTGAGTCAGTCAAGTTAACGTCAACCACGCTCGGTTTCCTGAACCTCACAAAGCGGTTTTGTTGCCTAAATCTAACCTCCTGTGAAGACAGAAGTTTATTTTGAAAAGACGCCATGTGTGTAGCAAGTGGAAACTGACACGCCGTCCCTGCCGCGTTCAAAATTGCAGCTGGAAGCTCACGATCAAGCTTCAGTATTTGACGTGCTGGGAGTGAGAATGTGTTGGAATAATATAGGGTTAAAGTTCACATGTATTGACTTGCCCTCAGCTTAACTTGATCTTAAGAATGTGTACGCACATTCACACACACACACACACGCGTACGTACACACACACACACAAATGGTCTTCTGAAGATCCTCCACAGCCAAACTCCACAGAATGACATGACTCTACACACTCACACATGTCTGTCTCTCTATCTGTTGCTCTCTATTCCTCCACCCATGTCTATTTTAATCCATAGTTATTTTTCTCTATTTTTCATAGAGACACGATCCACCTTCCCCTTGTCTCTCCTACACCTACGTACATACTGTATCATGCGGTGTGTCTTCAAACCAGCTGAGGCAGTTGTCTCTACAGTAAACTCCCGGCTGGCTGCTAATCCACAGCAGCTGACTCAACATCATTAGTCGGGCTTGCCTCGCTCTACATCAGCCCAAACATCTATCTAATGTCCCCACATAGCAGTGGCAGCCCCCAAAAACAGAGTCCCGCAGGTCCCTGCCTTAACAAAGCTTCCCTTAACTGACCCGATGTAAGCATCTGTTTCTCTGTGTGCGCACACTTTTGAATGACTGACTGTGAGAAACTTTAAATCATTTTTTATTTTTTTTTAAGAATGTAAGATTGGTTTAGACTGGCACACATTGTAGACGTGAGGACATAGGATTAAATGCATTTTTGCTTTAATTTATGTATTTGTGGTGTCATTTTCTGACCTCTCAGAGAGAAAGTGAAAGTGTCATTAGATTAGAGTGAGCAGCTTTAGGGTCAGACAGAATCAACTTTCATGGGCGATGATTAAATAGGCTGTGTGTATGACTTTTGTTTCCCCCCGACAGAATGGTTTCGCTGTAGTTCGACCACCTGGACACCACGCTGAGGAGAGCACGCCTATGTAAGTAAATACAAATTTGAGCAAGAGAATGATCAGCTCTGGCCTGTTGCACAGCATTTTTATCAACAAATTCTCCATGACTTTACTTTTTTCTTCCTCCTCCCTCGCTTCCCTTGAGGAGCTTTGTTCATCTCGTCCTTCTAGACAACTTGTGTCCCATGTCGTAACCGTCCTGTCATATCAAAGCTTCTACTTAATTTCTGCACAGCAGACATCAGTGTGTTGTTCTCAAAGAGAGATGTACTTTGTCGTGACAACGTTGTAAATCTACTGTAATTTCAGAAAAGTTAATAAGCGCTGTCCTCTTACTGTCCACTTTCAGGGGCTTCTGCTACTTCAACTCGGTCGCCATAGCAGCCAAGCTGCTGCAGCAGAGACTCAATGTCAGTAAAGTGCTCATCGTGGACTGGGTGAGTTCCTCGTGCAATGCAATGGGTTGCTTGTTACATAACCATCTACTGAGGGAATAGACAGTGTTGTTGGGGTGGCAGTAACAAATTGACATTGTGCTTTTTCAAAAAGTGGTAGACTACACCACATTGAAACTTGCATTGTTAATACAGTGCAACAGACCAAAACTGTATGCTGGACTTGTTATGCTTCATATATGCTATTTAGGTCAGACATGGTCTCTTTTTTGAAAAAAAACGAGCCAAAGTATTTTTTCATGAGAAGGTAGGACAAAGCCTCACCCGTGTCTAGAAGCTCTGCTCTTCAGCGGCGTCCCTCGCTGGTCATGGCCATTCCCAAAAGCCTTTGAAGGGCCTTTTCATTTCCTCTCCATCTGTCGCAGGGCGACTTTTAGTCCAGCGAGTAAACTCGCTGTCATACCGCTGCAGCCAACAGCGACATTTTTAGGATCAGCATTCTCGGGATGTAGACAATGAGGTCATTCAGTGGATGTTTGCAAAAGTGAATGCCTTTTTGAAGTTGAGGGTTTTATTGAATCCTGCTGACCATCCCTTTTTTGACATCGCAACAGGCTGAGATATAGACTCGACTGTCAGTATTGCAGATATATAGTCTGAGTGTCGTTCCGCTGGTCTCAGTGCAGGTGCAGGAGTTGATAACCCTGTCTAATGTGAAACTTACTCATTTTCATAATGACCTGAGGTCCTTTTGGTGTCCAGACAGCTATGTCCCTATGTCACTCCACACCACACTGTAAGGTTTTGCCCTAACCAGTCCCCTTTTCTTACCTCCACGTTTCCAGGATGTTCACCATGGCAATGGCACCCAGCAGGCCTTCTACGCAGACCCCAGCATCCTCTACCTGTCGCTGCATCGCTACGACGATGGGAACTTCTTCCCCGGCAGTGGAGCGCCTGACGAGGTGGGAAGTAGCACCAGTCTGTCTCTCAGCCGGCCTGCCGCTCCTGTTGCACAAAGTAACCGAGTCATGTTGGGTGTGTGTGTGTGTGTGTGTGTGTGTGTGTGTGTGTGTGTGTGTGTGTGTGTGTGTGTGTGTGTGTTGCAGGTGGGCAGTGGAGCAGGTGAGGGCTTCAATGTGAACATGGCCTTTACTGGAGGACTGGAACCTCCCATGAGTGATGCAGACTACCTGGCTGCATTCAGGTGAGACACTGATGTCGCCTGCTGCTTTAGAGACACATTTTGTGGCGCTATCTGCCCTGAAAGTGACTTGGAGGGAAAGCTCTGCAGCAAATAGCTTGACAAATGATCCATTGAGGGCTGTTGAGTAGGTAGGGAGCTCCTCCTAATGCCAGGCCTAATTTCTATTGGGTCTACTTTCTGGAGCTATTTATAACCTCACACACACACACACACACACATGCAGATCATAGACACACTACAACCGTGTACTCACCACAGACACAGACTCTTTGAAGATGAGTCTGTGTTTGCGACCGCGTGTCCATCTGGCCCCGAGCCAAATGCATCAAACCGGCAGGCCGCTGTCTTCTCGCAGCTTTCGGCACGCAAGCCCCCGGAAGCACACCTTGGCCCCGTTAATGCACCCCAGACCCGTGTGCGCTCTCACTCCTCCCGCTCCTCACTTTTTATTGTCTCTTCTCCCTTCATCCTCCTCATTCTACCCATGTGTGCCTAATGCACCGATGACAACCACTTAATAAACGTATATCATTCTGCCGCTATTATTTATAATCCATCACTGAAGCCAGTAGTAGCCAGTGCGGTATGCTTCACACACGTTTTCTACTTCTATATTGATACACAAAGCAGACACAATATACACACACGTATATGTATACAAATGAAGATGTCCCTTTTGAATTTGAAGGATTGTTCATGTCTATTACAGCACTAAAACACACAGTGTTGCTGATTTGCCAGTTTACACTTAAACGTTTATTTTAAACCTGTTTAAATTTGTTTATAATAACAGACTCATACTTGCTATTTTGAAAATGGTACTCAAGCTTTTTAGGTTTCCACTTCCAAGAAGTCAGTTGACTTGACGCAGACACATTCAAAAAGGGACTGGTTAAAATTGATGCCGCAGAGGCTGAATAATCCAGACTTGTAGTACCCATGTAGATCCCGCTACAAGAAAACACTTGATCCTGCCATAATTCCCATAATGCAACTCATAGTGTCTTTCAAACAGACACACTCTGCCTCCTAAATGCACACCTCACCTCCAGTTTGTTATGCAGGCTTTTGGTTAAAACATTTATGTCTCAAGCCCAAAATGAGATTACGGTGACTCCGTCGTCAGGGTTATTTCTTTAGAAGCTTTGGAAAGCCAGAGCCTTTGACTTTGTGTAACTGTTTTCACAGGCTGTGTAGTACTCCTTGTGATATAAAGACTGTATGTTGTGCTTAAAATTGGTGGAGTACCCCTGTAACTCTTATAAGGGCATTGCTGGAGATGTTCCATCCGTATTTGAGTCGTTCAATGCGTATTTAAGTTGACCAGTTACGCACTGCGCTTTGGTTTCACCAGCCCACTCTCTAAACATCGAACTGTAACCATCTAAAGCGTAAAACAGTAGTTTTGGTATGTGTGTGTTTGTTCAGGGGTGCATGCATCCATATACTATATACATGTCGAGAGGCTTGTACTGCGTTTGTGTGTTCTGTTTATGTAATTTGGGGTTATTAAATGAAACATGATGGAAAAGATCCAAAGTGAAAGAGAACATATGTTGTGGGCTTGTTATCACCTCAGGCCCTGGTGCTATTAATCCCCCGAGGCTATGGCAGGTTTGGACAATTCATAGGCCCCACAGGACAGCAGCAAACCTGTCTCACAGCTCATAGATCTACCACACACACCAAGAAACATGGTTACAGATAGTCGTGTGTTTATACAAATGCACATGCTGCTCAGAAATGCAGAAATCCCTGGTTTAAGCTTCCAGGAAGATGCATGAATATGCACAAAAACACAGAGAAACATGCACAAATGCTCACACATGCAGCTTTTACATCAGTGTGCGTACACATTTACAACCACATGCACGCATGGACACCTGATACACACAGCCTCTCTCTTTCTCTTTCTCTCTTTCAATCTCTGTGTGTTGTGGTCCACTCCATCTTCGGGAGGGGATGCGTGCCGTGCAGCTGGCACCTTCCCATTCTTTGGCTGGCCTGTGCCACGTTGCATTTGCAGGGGATCACGTCTGAGCCTCCAGAAAAGCACAGAGAAAAAAGATAAGAAAATTGGCCCTAATGAAAACCAGAAGCACCATCTCTCTCTCTTTCTTTTTCTCTCTCTCTCTCACTCTCTCTCTCCCCCCCCCTCATCCTCCTCCTTTCACTCCCTCTTCTGCCATGAACTTGGAAAGACGAGAGAGGAGGAGAATTAAACTTAATTCAAACCAGCTCTCCGCAGCACCAGATGACAGGGCTTTGAAGTGTAAGTGTGCGTGTGTGAGTTTTGTGCTCTCTTATTCTCCCTCTCCCGCTCTCCTCTACTTTTTTTTTTACTTTTTTTTTTATGAACGGAGGAGGAAAGCCTTGAAACTCTGCAGTTTAACCTTTTGTTGACTGGTGATGAACACTACTCCCTCTAAAGGACAGAGATTATATTTTGTTCTAAAACACCTGGCTCTTTACTTGAACCTCTCCAATGATGACTGCTCAAGCCCTAGGAATAAGCTGGTAATGGTAATTATCTCAAGTAAATATTAGAAGATTTTTAGAATGAAAAACTTGCACTCACGCTTTTGCATATCGGAAACTTGACCTCAGATGTTTTTACACTCTTTTCATTGGCGTGATAATATATCTGTTTGGCAGAAATGAATAGACTATAGAATATTAGATGATTAGATAATTAGTTTATTCTACTATATATTAACAAACCTAAGGAATTTATACATGTTAGAAGCCTGGAGTACATTGGACCAAAAGGCATAATCATGATGTGGAAAAGGATAAATTAGGTACCGGAGCAATTGCACCAAGATGAGTATGATTATATGATTATGAGTATGAGTATGAGCAAGATGAGATGACTTCTAGAGAGGAAGTTTTCCTTAGCTCAAAAAATTAACACTATGCCTTAAAACCTATACTGCTGTATTAACCTGTTGCACTTGAAATCATGTTGGATGACGATTGCCAAAAACCAAATGTGCTCATCACGACCAGAAGAGGAATAATTAGGCGGAGTGGTCTATAAAAGCACAGTCGATGCTAAGAGGGCAATGGGATATAGAGATGGTGGTCACTTCCTTTATGGAAGTGAGAATGACATTTAATATCTGTTTGTCACACAGATTCAGAGTGTAGGATCCACTGTTTTTGGAGCTGAACACCTGCATTGATTTTGACCACTCTTTTTAATCGGTCTCAAGACTGACATTCCCATAAACTGATACTGTGACACATGCAACCTGTTGCTAGGTGAACTAAACAAAAGTTTGCACTACATTCTTACCCAAGTACTTCCACTCCTAGTAAGATCTGGCTGTGGGAGAGCCGGCAGTGGTTTAGATCGCAACCTGTTGACTCAGGATGCCCACGTAGCTCGTAAACTCTCCCCTCCCTTAATTAACAGAGAAGCTTTTTCATCTCCACATACATAGTGTCTGATTCACACATAATTAGTCTCCCCTAAAACCACTGGTTTCCCTTCATGCCAGTCTGCTAATTGATTACTGTGGGTTTCTATTTCCCTTAAATGTCAGGATATTGTTCCAGAGTGGTGGGGGCTGGAACTGATGACACCAACAGTTTTCACCGTGACCCAAACTGTCTCTTGTCTGTGTTCAAGGTTGGAGGAGGGGCGTGGGGGAGCCCTCAGTGCTTCAAGTATCCTTGGCGGTCAAGGTTTCCCCCTGCGCCGTGTGTCAGCCCACATGCGCGCCTGTGGTCAACTCCTTTTAATGTGGGGTCTTTTATGGCCCAAATGTTAATGGGCCAAAGCTGTGTGTGCGTATGTAAGTTTGTAAGTAGGCGGATACACACGTGCGATGAAATCTGAAACTGGAGCTGAGAAATATTTACTTCCCTTAGCAGCGTGGTTGTTCATTTCACATAATTGTCATGAAAGTGTAATTCAAACAAAGGATCATTTTCCCTTTTTAGACACATTTGCACCTGCCGTAATGCTAACTGAACAATTTTCAATCTGTATATATTCATGTCCTTACTCCCTCAGTCAAATCCATGTTTTCTTCCTAGACTCCTCCCCTACAGGTTAGGCCATGCCCATTTTCTTGCTCTCTATATTTTTAACTCACTCACTCAAGCTTTTTTTCTTTGTCCTATTCCTTCATCTTCCTCACATGACGTTTTCCTCTGAAATATTGCCAGATGCACGCTAACACACAGTGACGCATGCACTCAGTGTATCCTTTCTGTCTGGAACTACCAATAAACTCGGAATACTACCTCCCGCCTCTCCCTCAGACAGCTGTGTGTACGTATGGGTGTTGTGGTGTGGTGGGGGGTGTGTGGTGTGCGCAGTTTAGGGTTATAATTTGGTGGTGAACAAGAGCTGGAAAGACCGGTGGCCTCCGGAGTTCAGGGCACGCTGCTCCCCCACAGCCAGCAAAACCAGCACCATGTTCCTGAGGTCAGCAAAGTACAGAGGACCTGCGATGGAACCCTGTGGTACTCCGTCACTCGCAGACCTCACCAAAACACCGCTTGCCCGAATATCCCAGACCGCCAGAAAATTCCTCTGCAAATCTAAGAGAACCACTTGTTTTGCCATCTGGGGAGTCTATAACTATTTATGAACTGAGTCCTAAACCAGATTACTGTGACCTATTATACTTCGATATTATACGAAGTTGATAAAGCCTCTACAGTGCCAACTCTAGTTCAGTGATCAGTCAGTATGACTGATTCCTAATTAATAGATACCTTTACGGATACCCCAAACAAATACAGAAAACAACAAACAGAAACGCCATGTGTAAACGCCTTTAGAGCTATTTAACTAACACTATTTTTTTTTTCTTTAAGTAATGTTTACATTACCTGATTTATATTTGGATACCTTTCTTTTATTTAAAAAAGTTAATTTCACCCTCGTAAAAAGATAAAATGAAGATGATAAATTCAAACTAGTCCATGTGATCTAATATAATCCTTCTGTGAAAAACACACAAATTTTTTCGGACAGGGTCACCATGAAAACCAGACTGGATTTTCCAGCCACAACATGCAGTGAATCATTACACAGTACCCCGCTGTTGATTGGATTTATGTGCATGACACATTGCACACAAGTACTCCCTCCCTACCAGTAAGAGGAAGGTTGTACACAAACAGCCCTCATTGACCACACCCATGCAGCGTTAGAATTACCCTGCATAATTAACACACATGATACGCACACATGCAATTATATCTGTCCTTCCGTTTCCCCTTTTTACTTAAGGATGTTCTAGTGTGTCGCTGCCTCCAAATTTCCAAACTTCTTTCCACTTCAAGAAGTGTATGCTGTAATTTTCTCTGCCACACACATGCTGTACAGACAAACTCATTAGGTGGATGTTTGCTTTGAAAATCACGAAAGGGAGGAAAAGCCATAAAATGACTTGAAAATACAGGAACTGATATACAGCAATAGAGACATGTAGCATCTCCGCTGGGTGCAGCATTCAACAATCATCATCACAAGGACAGTAAGCACACTAAAGGCATATCATGTGCATATTTGAATGGTCCTCTTGGCCCTATGTTAACCACCACAATGTATTTAGCTTGCCTGTACCGAGACGATCATTCTTCTTGTATCACCAGAAAAGAGGAATTGTGTAAAATATGTTTTATGGTATGTGTAGCTTTTTAGGATATGGTTGAAGTAGGGCCCTCAGTGCTCCACTGCTGGTACCTCTTGAATCTCTCTCGGTTTACTTTCACACAGTTAAATTGAACGGAAACATGGTAGATATATAAATTGTAAAAACTGTTTAGATTCACACAATTGGTCTCTTGAAATCTTGAAAAGCTGGCTCATCTGACTCTGGTTTTGATTTGACTTTTGAGTGGGTTGCAGTCGCAATATATATTTAATACATTTTGGAGCAGTTTGTGTTTGGTTGAAGCCCAGTCACCCTGTCATTCAGTCAGCCCATTAAATAGACGTTACTGTTGCAGCTGCAAGAATCTCCGTTGATGAAATGCACTATTAGTTTTTGATATGCCTGCTTCAGAAAGATGGTACTCAACAGGATAAGTTGGTATGGAGACTGCGGCCCAATCCCAATCTCAACACTCACGGACTTTGAGGTGCCGTCCCGCAAAGTCCGTGAGGGTTTAGGGCTGTCCCTCTGTCAAATCTTAGAGCGTGTGAGGGCTCTCTGGCAGACATTTTGAGCCCTTTATGAACACTTTCCGAAAGTCCGTATTTCTGCAGACTTTGCCCAAGGGAATTACCCACAATTCATAGCAATGTGACGTTAAACAGGGGGTTACCAGTGGAAGCATGGAGAAGGTAAACAAAGAGGACGGCACATGTGTGTTCAGCCTGGAATATTACATTTACTCAGAAACATTACATATTAAAGATTGAACATCAAAACACATGAAATCAGAAGAATGGAGGGGGGGGGGCATTGGCATTGGGCCTGCACCTCACCAGGTGCAGGTGTTTTTGAGACACTGATGCTGCGTTCCAAATGACATACTTTTTCTTTTTACTTTTAGTACATACTGCAGCTGCCCTTACAAAGTACCAACTGTTGCGTGCAGTATGCATTCAATTTGGACATACTACTTCGTCATAACATTGCACCTTGAACTTTGACCCTCTTGCTGGCTTGCATACTACAACGTATATACAAACATACTACAACGTTTGACTGGGTGCAGTAGGACATCCTGTATTTTTGATATTTTTGACATACTGCATTGGACATACTATTGGGACAAACTGAATGTTTTTCTGGCATACTAAAAAGTGTGGTAGTACGGGTACTGGAACGCACAGTGAATCTGCTTTCTGGCCTTCAAACAAATTCATGCATGCACTTGTTTTCAAACAAAGTGTTCTATATACAGTAAAGCCACAATTATTGGATAGAGATAGGAGACTCTTATACAGCCTCCACCGTAAATACATTATTTTTGTTGATGTTTTTTTTTCCTAGGACGGTGGTTATGCCTATTGCCAACGAGTTCGCCCCAGACGTGGTTCTGGTATCTTCGGGCTTTGATGCGGTAGACGGACATGCTCCACCCCTGGGAGGATACAAGCTGACAGCCAAATGTAAGTGCTGACCACGGTTTCCCTGTTAATCATCCTTTTTTTTTCTTCAAAGCCATAGATAAAAATTCTCTTCAGAACTTTAAAAGATGCACATTTGAATGCATGCCGTCCAGGTCCTCACTCATGATGTTCACATCCCCCTGCCTGTACAACGCAGCACAGTATAGAAGGAAAGAGTGGCAGACGCACACACAGGCGCACAAACACACGCCACTGTGTTTATTTTGTGCCTCCGACTTGCGTATTCAGAACGAGACCTTGGCGTGCCAGGAAATAGATTTTCTAAAACCATCCCGCAGATCTCAAATAAGACCAGGGGTCTTGGTTGTTAAGGGGGTGATATGGGTGGTTAGAGAGGATTGCAGGAAGAGGGGGATATGGGGAAAATTTAGGGGAGAAGAAAGTATGGCTGAATGCATATATTAAAAACTCCCCTCATCCTGAGAGCAAAAGATCAAAGACTGTGACCGAGCCTAAACGCAAAGCCGCACTTATTAAAATTAAACCTGGCTCATATTATGGTTTGTTTTTTGGCCCCCAGTAAATCCACAGTGTGCTTTCTCTCCCTCTTCCTCCCTCTGATGCAGTCACCCCCTTTTTCTCATCCTTGCTCAAACCCCCTTTTTTCTCTATTTTTTTTTTTTCTTTGATCAATATCCAAAAAGGAAGTTAGAGCTTGAACAGCACTGCTCCCCCCTGTCTCATTCTTTTCCCCCCTCTCTTTTTCTGCTGTCATTTCCTTTGTGTTCAGGCTTTGGCTACCTGACCAGGCAGCTGATGGGTCTGGCAGGCGGTCGGTTGGTGCTTGCCCTGGAGGGAGGTCACGACCTCACGGCCATATGTGATGCCTCCGAAGCCTGCGTCTCTTCTCTGCTTGGCAATGAGGTAAGACGACAGCCAAGAGACTACTAGCAAAAATAACCTTGAGCAAGGCACTAAGACTGGACAAATACATTTGGAATTGTGGACTAAATCTATGGCTGGTGTGAGATTAAATATAATATAGACTGAGGTTTACGCGGGGAGTTAGGTATACACACCACAAAAAGTCCATTTAGAAATGATGACCTGGTTAGTCCCTGCAGCATAAATTGGTATATTACTGTAATGTTGGCTTTTTCCCTGAGACTGTAAGTTCACATTAATGCAATATAGAAGGATGCATTAATGAGCTTGATTAACAGCAACATGAGTGTAGTTTTTATGTTTAATTGCGTCAAAGTGAATATGTGGGGCAGATGAAGAGCATCTGGTTTATTTGTGTTGTCAGCGTGAAATTTTCAGAATGCAGTTGCACTCGTGTTGCTTGTCATTTTTATTCCTGGCTACATTTCCGGAAGCAAATCATTTTGTCTGAGTTTGAAAGTCAACATGCTACAAATAACCATAAAATATGTTTTGAACTGCGGTTGTTTGACATAGTTTTCAATAATCAGTGTATTACCTGTGGGGCAGCAGCAAAACACCTGTCTTATAGGTATCTGAAATACTTTTTGCTGCTGCCCCCATCCACATCAGTACATTGCTTTGTTCCCGTGCCCGTACTCTTGTCTGTCTCTCCAAACTGGAGGCGTGCCGACCGCCATCTACTGTAGGTAATACACCGACTGTGGATAAGTGCCTCATACAAACCCACTTCAAAACACCCAAACTATCACTTTTAAGCTAGAAAATTCCACCTCTTGTCTTTTAATATTGACATCCTTTGCAACATTGAGATTTTGTGTCCCCTGACTGGGTGACTCAAGGAAAGAATGACTTTAACTGCCAAACAGGTGCAGCATAATGGCCCGGTTGCATAGATATACAGTATAGAGTTAAAAATACCGGACAAGCTTGCATGTAGAGGAGCCTCTGAGAACAGTACTCATTTATCTGGGCCAAAACCATCTTCTCTCCATGTTATGCTCTCTCGAACACTCAAGAGAGGAAGTCTACGCCACACACACACACACACCACATGCACATACACACCACATGCACATACACATGCACTTCAGAGGGAGAGGATTTCCAGGCAGAAGGTTAATTGTGGGAGTGTGTAGGTTGGGCCGAGGAACTGAACAAACATCGGCGCTTTGTGATTCATGGCGCACAACAGAATAGCAACTCCTCACAGCCGCCCACTCTTTTCTTCCAGCTAATGGAGAGGCTGGAGTGCTTTTTTGGACGGGCTGCTTAGTCTCATTCCCCACCCCCACCCCCAGATTATGCGTCCAAGATATCTGTGCATTTATTTTTAAATGACTACTGAATTGTCGTACTAAACGGAGATTATACAGTAGAGCAGAAGAGAAGGTGTGACTGTTTGTTTCCGCACATTCTTCTGCACAAACGGAGTACAAGCACACATGTCACTACTAATCTGTTGCTGTTTTGTTCACAATCCATTTAATCCCTGACCACTAATGAACAGGGCAAAAACTATGCATTTGATGGTATTTTGGGCACTAAAACCTTGCAGTTATTTTTCTTGAGTGTGTGCGCTTCCGTTTCTACACAAAGAAACACACAAAGCATCACGTGTTTACCAGAGATATCTTTACAAGTTTCTTGGGAATAACTAGTTCAGCATGAAAAAAGCATAAAACAAGGATCGACTAAAGAAATCTTAGTTGACTTGGACAAAAATGACAACGAGGGGGCAGCCCTAGTGTTTTGTCTATATTCCCTACTGTATTTAAGGAGGTCTATTTGTGATCCCACAAGATGTGTTTTTGAGTCATCGTGAGTGGAAGTCATGTTTCAATTCAAGACAATACAATGTGAATGGTGGATGCAAATTTCACATGTCTGTGAGCCAATTCACTCCTTAAATAATGAAGAAGTAAAGAGAGCAACTGCTGTTCTACTTAGCAATGATCTTTGCCCATATTTGAGTTAAGTTCATCAACACCAAGAATGCCAAGTAAGAAATCACCACACATCACGAATGAATATCTAGACAGACACTTTATTTTGGAAAAAAATGGACTCAAGTCTCAAGTGTTGTTGTTGCAGGCCAAGCCACAAGCACACCCTGAGTGTCAGTTGCATTGGAATGGCTACTGTACCTGCTAAAGCCATTATCGTCTGCCCAGTGACACTTCCAGAACAGTTACACTAATGCACATGGGTCCACACTTCTCATTCGGTACATACAATACCTCACAGAGAATTAAGTAAGACTAGTTGTTGGACTGCATTGTGGACATCATAATAGTAACAATGAATTGGTGTGGAAACATGAAAGACAGTGCATGGTACATTTCTTGGGACAATTAAAGATTGTTGCTCTTGCCATTGTCTTTGTTTTGAAACGGACAAACATCAGTGATCGTAAAGGTAATGCGACACTAATTCAGAAGTAAGCAAACAATTTATCCATTGGACAAAATGTATTTTATGTCCGTCTTGATTTTAAAACAAACCAAGCCTGCATGGATAGACGTTATCGACTGGATATGTACTTCTATGTTTATCTGTGACTCTGTATCTGCCTTGTCGGAGGTGGTATCTCTACATTCCTCGGCCTCTTGTTCCAGCCCTGCAGACAGCTCGAGCTATAAATGAGTTCTTGGAATCGTAAAAAAAATTGCATGGCCCAGTTCCATGTGGATCTTGGAGTCAGAGCAAAACAAATAGAAAAATAACATAATAACACATTAATAAAAACGAAGACACTGTGACCAACCAGCCCACTGTTGTGTGGAACATGAAGACACTGACCACTGCAGACTGATCAACCATGCAGGAACTTAAAGGTGACGCTGGTCATACTGGTGTTTAGTTAAAGCAGTGCGGAACGCGAGGCAACGTTATTAACCCTTGAATGTGTCCTCTTAAGAGGAAAGCTCTGCTACGTGCCAAAACCAGTCGGAGACAACTAGGTTTTGTGGGAAATACACAAACTAATTACTTGTGTTTACCTGCACTGTGCCCACCAATGACTCAATGTCGTAGAGTAACACCGCCATTACAGCTGGTAAGGATTCGGGAATTCAAGGACACTTCAGGAGGGCGGATGCTTTTTCCTGTCACGGAGGTTTGTACTCAGGACTTCCAGTTTGAAGGACGCTCTCGTTACTCATAGCACCGCCCTGCTGCAAAAATAATGAATTGGATCGGGGGGTTTGCTTCTTGGGTTTCAGCCTGCAGAGCGCCGGCCTCAGCAGGGGTTTGGAGGAGGTCACTGGATGAGTGCCATAGGGAGCTGAAAATGTGAAAATAGGCAGGAGGCAGGGAGCGTCAATTGAATCAGCCCTGCAGGACACCCCTCTCACCCGGGGCCCCCTCGCTGGTACACATCTGAAAATGGTTACCCTCACACCTCTTCCAGCAGGGTCACCCTGGGCCTAGGGATCAGATAATAAAGGGAAATGGAGTAATCATTTGAAGTAGGAAAGGATAAAACTATTGTTATACAGCAGCTGCACAGAGAACGGTACCTATGCAGGTCTTCAAATTCTTAATCATATGCAGGTTTTTAGAAAACTTTGAGTGTTGTACATAGAGTATTTTACAAAAATCTGTCGGATATTATCACCGATTTTTTTATTTTTTTTGAGAAAGTAACATATTTGTTCAGAAGATTTCATCTGGGAAACCGTGAATAGAAACATTCAGAGGTATCATGATGAAGAACGCTTACAGTAAGATGTGCAGCGTGCCCCATGAGCAGAAGATGGCTGCGATAAAGGGACGAACAAAGCAAATGTGGACGTTGTTGACTTGAAGTTAAGACATAAAGTTCTCATGACTTGCACCGGTTGGCTTTTTGGCAGCAAGTGATGTCAGCTGTTTGAACAAAGGCGATCTGCCTTTCAATTGTGTGGAGCTTTGATAACTGATAGCAAATGGAAAAAAAGAGAGGCTAAAATGTCCCCGATCAGATCAAAATGGCAGGAAGCAAGTGTTTTTATCATAATCTCAGCGAAGGTCTCTGTAATGGACTTGGAATGTAGCTGGAAAATGTCAGTGAGGGACTGAGCTGGAGGGAGATAAAAGGCCTGCCATTTCTTTTCTTTCTTTTTTCTTTCTTTTTTTGCTGATAATGTCGGGCAATGGCCTCAGATGGCGACTAGAATCACAATAAGAAACAGAAGACTTCAAAATAAATCAAACATAAGGTCTATGTAGCCTCCCCACCAGCCTCCCCAATTTTGGACTTGTTTGAATGTGTCCACTGAGTGGGTTATTTCTACAAGATATATTTGAGTTTGTGCGTGTGTGTGTGTGTGTGTGTGTGTGTGTGTGTGTGTGTATGTGTGTGTGTGTGGGCCAACTGTGAATGGAGCGAATGAGTAGGCTCAGGCATGGGACCACAGCTGGATTAGCTGGTCAGCTGTGCTTTTGTTTATAAAGCTTCAAAACCGCCCGAGGGTTTGTATCGTCTGGAACGGTCCAGAACCCAAGACGTCACCATAACTGTAGCATATACTGTAGCTTAAACCATTCAATGTAGCTTGAATGGTTCTGCCAGTAAGTCTTGCCATTTATTCTACCTGTTTGGACTAATGGATGCTATATTGCACAAGTACAGAAGGGTTTAAAAATACATTTAGAATTAACATATTGCCACTAAGCCCACAGATAGTGTCTTATACTCAGTAATAGGCCTATATGGTTAAGAAATCATCATGTTTATTTTATAATTAATGCTCTTGTTGTTTGGCATTTTAAAGAGGCAGACTTTGGCAGCCTTTACACTGGCGCCAAAACGTCCTAAAGGTGTTCCTTATACCCTCTTCACCTCCTGTGTACTTCCAGTGTTTTACTGCTTGCTAGTGTGAGAGATATATATGCGCTTTTATTGGTAGGTTAAGACAAGCTTTGCCATAATGAGCATTAGGTTTCCTTTGAAAGCAGCTCAAATTAGCTGGGAAAGAGAGGGATGGAAATTGCTGAATGGATTTTACAGGCTCTTTAATTCACCCCCACCACTGTAGTGCGTAATCGTGAAGTATTTTTAGTAAAATAGCTCATGAATGATGCATTGGCAACTACACCAGTCAACTCTGAACTCGGGACTAATTGATGATTGCTCGCAAACAGATGTTGGCCCGGTTCGGGGCACGGTTGTTAGCAATTATTTGATAAACAATAGGCTAATATGCTAATTGCTACCAGCTGTCAATGAGGTTACTGGGTGTGTTTACACTCCAGTTACAGTAAGACGCTTGAGTTCACCTGTACCCCTCTAGGGCCTGAGCATTCTCCTCCCCCCCCCCCCCCCCGACTACGAGACAAACGTACACCTCTTTTCCCGAAAAGGTCACCCGCTTTGCACAATGCACATCATTACCATGTTCAGTTAGCATAACATAATCAACCAGTTTTAGTGACTGCCAGCATATGCACATGGACACAACAGTAAACAATGGGTGCCTTGTGCACTTTTCTTTCGCTGAACAAGTGGATTTCCTCCTCTCCCCACTGTTTTGGTTATAGCCTCCCTTCTGGAATGTTTTTACCGGGGCACATTCCTCAATCTTGGCTCATGGCTTTCCATGTTGGCCCGCGTCTGGTGCGTTGGACGGCCGTGTCACACAGCGAAATAGACTTCCTCAGAAATAAATCAACACAGTGGCAGCAAACCATCTTTAAAGGGCATTACTCTCTCCTGGTCTCAAAGACTGCAGCACGTCTGATGGTATGAAGATGTAGAGGTCCAGGCCCAGCCAGGACCACAAACTCAAATAAACAGAAATGTCGCCATGGATGATGTGGCAGACAAATGTGTGCTTGTATATAGTGCACATGCATGTCTGTGTGTTTGCCATACCTGTCAGGTGGGGGCCCCTGGAGTACTCTGACAAGAGCCATTAAAGTTTATAAGCGTGAGGCCCAGCTGTCAATCAAGCTGACAGACTGCCCCCCTCCAACCCTGCTCTGAAATGAACCCCACGAAACCCCAGAGAACCCCTGACCCTGCTCCAACAGGGAGATGGGTTAGTATGGTCTGGGTGGGGCTGAGCTGGGAATGGCTCAGGTTATGGTGAAAAGTTGGCGGCTGTTGCCTAAAGGTTTGAGAAGATTTGACTGAAAGATTGACAATTTGAGTCCCCAGAGTGGCTGGGAAATGTTTGGGATGAAAGTGATAAATAAGTACTGCTGTCTCCCCCCTCCCCCACAATCCAACTGATCTGGACGGACTGAACCTTCCAAGTTCTCTAGAAGATGATCTCCATAGCTGACAACTCTGAGCAGCTCCCAGGTGTGCTTGAGTGTAGATCAGACCTGCGTCAAAAAAACTGGAGTGATGTGGGAGTGTTGCTTCACAATCGCGAGCTAGAAAGTTGATTGACACCATTCAATTGAGAAAGTAATGAATCAGGAGTGTGCGCTTGGTCTTTATCTTCTGGCAACTTTTGCTGCACGTTGACTTTGAGCCATCATGTTAACATGCAGGCTAAGTTTCACATACAGTCACTGGCAGGTTGATGGCGCTTTGCCAGAAGCCTCTGTACTTTAGTCAGTCAGAACACAGCATGACACTAAATAGATGCTCTGATTATATCAGAGTTGAAATGGACAGTTTAGCTTCCAGTGGTTTATAGAAAAAATGGATCATGCTATACAAAGCAAGTGCTTTGTCATATGATATCGAAGTGAATGCCCGAGCCAATGGAAACAGACTAATGGCTACCAGACAGGTGTCTTTATTGTTATCTGACCTGTCTTGTTTTGATAAATCCCACATGTTATAGCAAGAATACTCATTGTGTGTACCAACATACACCCACATTTTTGTTAATGGAACAGCAGGGCGGTTCCTCGAGGGCTGATTGTATCTGTTGCAATGTGAAAAGAATGAGGTTGTGTTTGAGTAATTGCATGGATAAACTATTGAACTATACAGCTAAGTCCCGCCTACGAACGCAGACTGGCCAATCGTAGCGTAGCTTCAGCCAGCTTGGGCAAGCTCCAACCAGTCAGAAAATGGTTTCAGCGTAAACGTGATGGGATAGTGATAGTCATTGACCGGAGAGGTTGGATGGATATATATACGTTTCTAAAGCATTACGTTTCTACGTTAAAAAAAACAACCTGTGGAGCTAACAACAAGAACTGAGTACGTTAGTACAACATTAACTAGCGTTACCACTTATATGCTACTGCTAGCTACAGTGAATAAAGACCTTTTCAGGAACAGTATTGTTCCTTAATTTCATTGTTTTCTGTCTCCATGTCCAGGTGATGTGCTGGAGTGACATGACCGTGAAATGACTGAGTTTAAGATAGTTTTTTTCCAGAATCTCTCCCATTCAGTGACTTAAAAAAACATAAAATAATAAATAACTATACAATATATAATCTCTTGTACACTACAGAAACAGAATGACACACTACACTGATCTGTAGGCTTTAGCTTCTGTCTTTATCTTTTTAACCTGTTTTTCACGGCTGAATCAGTTTGACATCCTGGATATTTCCTTCAAACTCATATTGTAGACCCGTCTGCTTCTCTCTGAAATATCTTTTTCATTTTTCCAAAAAATTAGATTATATTTCTATAGGGAGTCCACTTAGTGATGGTGTAGGCTCCATGGTTGCTCTGACAGCTTGATGGAGTAGCAGCGGGGGCGGGACTAAGCGAAGGCTCAATCAAGCCCACTCCCCAGAAATTTTTGTCAGTTGATTTGGATGAGAGTGTCAGCCAAAGAGCAAATAACCCAATGTAAATATACGTGTGTCTCTGTGCGCACGCTCCTCCGTCCGCTCCTCTGTGCATTATGTAGCCTGTCGTGCCACAGCAGGATTAAAGTATCCCTCTCCCCAGACTGCCTCTTGCCTCCGCCCCCGCTGACCCCTCCCACACACTATTTGTTTTAATTATAAGAAAACTTCCAGCCTTGGCCAAGCGAGACGTACCAACGATGGCTTTTTCCTTTTCTCTCTGGCGCTCTGCTTCCAAATCTCTGGCCAAGCTGTTTTTTCTTTTTCTCTGTCTCTCTTTACATGTTTCTCAGTTGGTCCTTTATTCCGTTGGGGTTATGATTGAGCAGAAAAAAGGATGCTTGTTGTCTGTGTTGGAATGTAGAGCTGAATGGGCCTGTTTGACAAAATGGGATGAGAAAGTGTCGTATGTGCTATCGGCCAAAGGGGAGATTGAATCATTCCGGGTTGGGGAATAGCCCTGTTTCCTCTGAATTGTGGCTTTGAGAGTTTCGTGGCCTTAGCTGTGCTCCCTGAGGTGTGTGTGTGTGTGTGTGTGTGTGTGTGTGTGTGTGTGTGTGTGTGCGTGCGTTTGGAGCAGCGCTTCTGAACACCTGTCAGTCGCGTTCATAAAACACACATCCGGCCGTAATAACTATATTGGAGGAAAAATAAATGCCACTATACATTTAATGCACTTAGCTTATGTTCCCAGTAGGCATAGGTACACTGCCAAGTTGTGTGCCCTCCAACAGTTACATTTCAGCATAAGTGTCTTAAGTAATCTCAAAGATGTGGTTAGTGGATACTGCAAATCGCTTTTGGTGGAAAAAGTTAGAAGGCTAAGAAAATAAGTGTTTTCATGTTATTATGCCTGGGCCGGTGACAGCCATGTTTTTGGGTTCTTCGTCTCTCTGGTCCTTTCTCGAGAGCGCTATATCTCAGGAACACCTTTTAGGGAATTTCTTCAAATTTGGCACAAATCTATCCATCCTTGAGTCCACCTGGGCTAATTCTAACAATTTTACAGGAATGTCTAATAGGATAGAATGACGAAGTGATGACATTTTGGACATAGATGTAACACGGAGGCAACAACCGCGAGGTGGTAATTCTATTTTTTTTGTTTTTTCAGTTGGACCCCATTCCTGACGAGGTGCTGCAACAGATACCGAATGCCAACGCTGTCCACTCTATGGAGAAAGTTCTTGAAATACAGAGTGAGTGGATTGTTTATATCTATTTACAGAATGCATCAGATTATATTTAATGTTATTTATCTTACTGAATGACATATGATTTGGTTTTGGTCTGATGACTAGTATGTTTTTAGCATCTGTAGATATTACATATGTTAACATTCCACATGCAAAACCTGTCGAGCCACACTCATTAAATCTCTCTGTTGTAATTCGGCTTTTACCCCGTCCTGGTTGTTTGTAGGTAAATACTGGCGCTCGCTGCAGCGCTCCGCCTCCACACTCGGTTGCTCGCTGAGCGAAGCCCTCCGGCGCGACGCAGAGGAGGCTGAGACCGTCTCCGCCATGGCCTCATTGTCCGTCGCCAACAAGCTCGTTGGAAAGAGGTACACGACGTCATCTATGTGTAGTAGTTCTCAATGACCTTCATTTAAAGGAATAGTTCAACATTTTCGTGGAATGAGCTTATTCAATTTCTTGCCGTGAGTTTGACAAGATTTTTGGGGATTGGTATCAATCTTCTCTTCTAACTCTTGTCAAGAAAGCAAATAAGCGTATTTCCCAAAATGTCAAACTGTTACAATAATAAGGCAAAGTCTCTCATCGACCTCCTTTCCAGCTGCTGCAGATATTTTTGGTGGATTTGATGGTGACACCCCATCACAATTACTGTGTACACTTTAAGTGTTACATGTGTTGCTTTAAGTGTCCATTTTTCAACACAGAAATGTGTGTAGTCTCTCACCACCTTTCTTTGGCACTGTGGTTACTGTAATTTGGGTGTGTGCAGTTCTAAATTGTAGCATGTACATCTTACATCTTTGTTTACGGTGTCATCGTTTCCCCCAGGGCTGAAGAGGAACCCATGGAGGAGGAAGCTACTATGTAAAGAAACATCATCTTCCGTCTTCATCTTTGACAGTGTCCTCACTCAGTTGGCGTCAATTTAAATGCCACTCCCGCGTCTCACCCCTGCCACACACACGGCATGTGATTGTGGGTGAGAACGAGCAGAGCGGACAAAAGTGGCACTCGGAGGGAAACGGGAACACTGAAGGCGAGCGACGCATTCACTGATCAGCGGTGCACAGACTGATCAGCATACATGTGTTGCATTGTCTACAAGACCTTGGATGTAAGAGGGACGACTCAACCCCGCCACAATGACAACCTCGAGTGCCAGTGCTTTTAAAACACTAGACATGATGTACTTTTTTTGAATGGCAGTCAGAAACGATCCGTCGTCATCCGCTTTTCTTATTGTTCTGTTCTTTCTGCGCTTTATCGTCACCTTCACACCTTTCATCAAAAACCACCAGAGCTATTGTGATTGTGACTCATCGTGGATGAATCATCCCTGCTTTTTTAAGACATCCGGACGAACAGAACAAAGTGGTCGAATTTCTTGCTGTTTACCGAGGTGGTTGAAGATTACAGATGAGAAACGTCGGCAGGTGTTCTGATTCCAAAATGACTGACAGTGAAAGACTGTGCGTCCGTGCCTTTTTTTTTTTTTTCTTTTTTTTTTTTAAAACCTGGTGGATTTTCTATTGAACTTGCCTTAAAAAACAGGTTTTGGAACGAGGCCTCTTCTCCCCAAACCCCTTAAACATTTCTCTCCTGGCAAGACATTCAATGCCTGCATGTTGTTGGCACATAGACTGGAGTACCATAGCATGTTAACCTAGAATTCCCTGCAAGCAGCCTGCTGTCTCTCCCTGTATCTCCATCTTTCCTTGTTTGCCCACATTTAAATAATCTTATTTTAGAAGGTATAGTTCCCAGCCACAGGTTGGAGGTGGTTCAGTTTCAAAGGAAGTTCCAGGTTCGATTAGTATTACTCAGTGGACCCCTCCTGTGTGTCTCATCGGCCTGGCCACTTCATGTCAATGTTGCATCAACGGTGGTTAGTGCAAACTTTTCTCAGTGCTCACAATGATGCCATACCTTGAAGTGGATCAGGCAGTTATTAATCAGTCTAATGTTAAGCAATTCAGTGCCACGTAATGGGCGGGCATTGGGGCCGCCATTGGCAACTGGCCCAATCAGACTGGGATCAGCTGTTCTCAAGAGAGCAGTTAAGTACCATGTTTTGAAAATGAGAATCCTATTTTTTACATTAGAATCAGTCTCACCTCTTGCAGACTAATGAGGAATAGAGAGGAATAACTGTTAACTCACACGGGCCAACGTGTTGAACCAGCCCTCCCTTTAAGACAACTGTGTCTCTGTGGTAACAATGACTAAACCACCTGGGATATTCCACAGGGTTGTTCCAGGGCTGCACGGGCTCTCACAGCTGGTTTAACGTCTTTAGTCCCGACACATCTGCTCCCCAAATGTCAAGCGCTATGAGGCAGGTGTGAGTACGTCTGCTCGTACACAGTGGAGCACAGGCTGCTCTTTATAAACATTCTTGTGTTGACGAATATTTTAATAGCTCTTTTCTTTTTTTCTTTTTTATTAATTTTCCATTTCTCTTGACCAGTGACCGAGCCAGTGGGATAAGCACATGTAAAATGATTATGCGTGCAACTTTGAATAGCACATGTAGCTCAGATTCGGCTCTGGATGCTGAATCCTCCCGACATTTTATCAAATCTACAAACTATATCAATCTTTCTTTTTTTTTTTTTTGTCAGAGCATTTGATTTGTATTGATTGTTGTCGGCCTGTAAAGACACTTTCAATACATTCTATAATACTGTACATTACCTACCCTACCTTTAACTTTAACTAAACTGGCTATCGCAGCCGAACCCTGCTAGCCACACAGCACACCAGCCACCAATCGAGCCAGGTAAAAAGCCATAATTACATGCAATTAGTTTTTAAAGAATACATGTACGACTTAATGTTGATGAAACTGTCCCTGTTTTGCAGAAGTGGACTGTAACCACCTCTCCAACTTGTGTTTGGCCCCTGGGCAACTACCTTTCGCTCACCTTTGTTTCCTCTACAAGCTAATCATGTGTAATGTGTTTTGTCGGTGACCAGGAAACAGAGTGCCGTGGTGTTTACTGTTGTTTACTGTACATAGGACACCGATCTCCTGAGTATTCCTGCCACACACGTTTGTCAATGACTACTCTACTTTTTTTCATGGTTTTGCTGCCCTTTCAGTGGACTCCAGTGTCTTCTTTTTGTACCTTTTTAATATATTGTTCCCGGTCCCCTTTCTGGCTGTCTCTCTGTTACATTGTAAAGCTGACATACTTCACAACCGGTGAGGGTCCAGATCCGGTTTTTATTGGACATTACGTGACTATGTTTTCTGGGTTCAGGGTTTTTGTGGGAGGGTTGGGATGCAAATGTTTCTACTTTGTATAATGATGGACAATTGTGTACTTACTGTCTGTTCATAGTAGATTTATATATGAAAAGAAATGAGTATATTATATATATATATATATATATATATATATATCTATACATAATGAAATACTATGATCTTGTTTTTGAAGTTGGTATTGAAAAATGATACTTTTGATGGGCCTTCCGTACAGTCGGCCCTCTTTAGGGTGTTACTGAAGGCACCATTCACTGTGCTTGGCTACAGTTGGTTACGTGTTTAGTGGCATTTTACCGGTTGTCCTTTTGTCTTTCAACACTGATGACTAGTTTTTGGCTTTATCCATCCCGTTGGTACCATAACACTGTTACAGCAGGCGTGCCATTGCCCTCTGCTCATCCACACATTTAGGCACATATTCCCATTATTCCACTTTTTTCCACATTTTTTTTGATGTGTGTAGGTTTATTATTTGTACAAACACATTCTGGCTGCCACCTATAAAGTTTCAGTATTTTTAAGAAATGTGAGACTGAATTTGAAAATATGCATTCTACACATCGCCAAAGTGTCCAAAGGGGGGTTCTTACTCTTTCCTCAAGGTTTACAAGTTCAACCTCCAGCCCAAGAAAAATGGGATGGGTGTATTTAAATTGGAACATGGCCATGCCGTTAAATCACTGTGATGGGCCTCACAAATGACTTCACATGATCATCACTTACTTCCTTATCTGGACAAATGTCCTTAAGTTTTAATTGAACTCAATATTCCTTTAAATTCATCTCGTTCACATGTGTAATCTCATTCATCAGCTAAGTGATGCCTCAGGGTTTCAGGGTGGCGTGTCGTTTAGCATATCCAAAAGATCGCAGGTGTTCCGTCCCAGCAGCAGCCCACGTCTTTCTGTCCTCACGGAACCAACAAGGACCAACGTTTTAACAATAATCTACTATCTACTGCTATTTCATGCTCGTGTCATCTATTTTGTAAATGTACAACAACAAGGGAAAAATGGATGTGACTGCAGTGCTTGCAGTAGATTGTTTGCCATAAAGTTGGTTTTCCAGTAAGTACCCAAGACATAATCATGGTCTAGGCATTTGTAGAGGGGCGTTATTGTGCATCCCATTTTCATTCAGTATGGTTTAAACTCATAGCCATGTGAAAGGTACGTGATTCTTCTGTACATTCCTTTTATATCACACACCTACACCAACATCAATTTCTCTTGTATTTTTTGTAATTTTATCTTCTGGACTTTATTCACATTGTTGTGAGTGTACTTCATGCTTATAAACGTATGTGTGGTTGGAATATGAAAATGCGTATAGTCGGGCTATCCTGAATATCACCTTTACTTGGATACGCTGACGCGTAAACACACTTGGTGAGATGCTTTTCGGTAACCCAGCCCCAGAACGTTCCCAGAACCTCAGCGCAGCAGTGCCAGTTGTGGGGTTTCTACTGCTGAATGCTTGGGTTTCTCAACAGGAGCCAAAACCAGCACTGTCTGGCCACTCTGGCCGCCTGTCTACAATGTCCAGTAACAACCAAAAAAAAAAATCAGCAACATTCCATTTTGTTATAATTTCCACGTTAAGAGGGGCCATATCTTTATCTTTTGGTTTTAACGCTCGTAGTTCGGTCCAGTCGGGTTCGAGAACTGTTGATTTAGGTGGCCTGGTCTGACTCCACTCCATTCCTCTTCTCTCTCTGCATGATCCGTATGTCTGCATGCACTGCCTTCCTACCTGTCTGTCTGTCTGTCTGTCTGTCTGTCTGTCTGTCTGTCCCATACCACATATCAGCACAAGGGATCGAGCACTGAAGGACGTTAGTACTTTCACTGTATCCAAACTGTCTTGTCTCTTTTACTGCTTTTTTTTTTTGTTGTTTCTGCTGGGGAGGAGTTTGGGTTATTTCCATGTTGTGCTTTTACCTTTAGCATATGGAACCATCGAACCTGGAAGACCTTTGTTGAATATTTTACAAAAAAGTAATAAAAAAAAAAAAAAAAAGTATCTAGCACTTGTAACACAAACAATAGATTTTATTGTATTTATGTAGAAAAACGAATTGTTTTAGGGGGACGCCTTGTAAACTGCTACAACAGAATGGACTTCTTTTTTTTTTTTCCTTTTTTTTTTTACTATACCGGGCAAGATGTGACTTTTGGTGGACTTTTTGTCACATCTGGACTTATCAAAGGACTCCATCCAGGTGCCTGGTCATTGTTACGGTTGTCCATTTCCACTAAATAAGCCAGTTATTGCTATGACCACTGTGGTTCAAAAACAATCAGTTCTAGGTTTACACATGTATAAAATGCATATTCTTTATTCTTTTTTATCAGTTATGTTTTTGACTTGTCCTACCGTTGTTACAGAAATAGTAAATTTTTCTCGGGAACCTTTGCTCTAACATGTTGTCTTTGACATCTACAGTATAAAGTATTGTTTTGGAAAAACTGCAATGTCTGTTTTTTTTATATTAACATTGTGGGTTTTAGGGGTGAACGGGGGAAATTATATCAAGAGGCAAAGCGTCTCAAATTGCACCAATCAGAAACGAGACAGAGCCATGAAACTCGTTATGGTCTATGAGGATCCCTCTCTGCCAAGTGACGTCCTGTCGTGTTTCGTGTTCAATTTAAATGTCCATGTATACTCTAATCATCATATATGTAGTATTATTAGTTAAATATTTTGTTCTGGGGACCTGGGTTCAATTTTCACCAACAGCCCATTTCGAATCCAGAATCTTCATTGTCCAGATGTCTTGAAATAAAATACTGCCAGATCACCTGAACAATCATGTCTGTATGCGGGGACTGATGAAACATTTGACTTCTAGTGTTTCCATCACTGTCGTAACATTACTTGTTAAAAAAAACAACCTTTGCTGACCAGTAGAACACAGATACAAGTTCCCAACATAAAACAACTATCCTAATAGTTCAAGAGGTTTTTGAGTACTGACATTAAAACCAAACGATGTAGACAGTTGTTACAGTTGCCCCCGGTCTCCCCTAGCCTCAAGCCATTAGCCTGGAGCAGAAATAAGGAATGGCCACAGAGGTCTGGTAAACTCACTACATCTACAAAGTTTTTTTTTTTTTTTTTTTTTCTTCAGATCCAACTTGCCAGATATCATTTGAGGCAATGTATCGTCGTGCAGCTCCATCTGGAGATGCAAAAGGCTTCATATGACTTTTTCTGCATGCATTAGTCCTCCCTGAGACCTGCAAACAGAGCTTGATGTATAAAATCGGTGGAGTTCTCCTTTAAATCCAGACGGAGGCGGCATTGCAGAAAACGGCAACAATGGCCCCACAGTAGCTTTGGCTGGGATTAGCCCCCCCCTATTTGGAAAGGTCAAAGGTCTGAGCCAGTGTCCAAATAAACAGCAGTGAATCCCTGATGTTGGTTGAACTAACGCTAAGACAACAGTCCAAAAGCAAACAAAACCAATGCCGCCTTGCCTCCCCTCAAATAAACACACATTCCACTTCTTTCCTGTCAAACTCTGAATTTAGAGAGTGACAGTGTAAATACTACCTCTGCCTTAGGCTTTGTACGCTGACACGATCTCTGTAAATCACGGAGGCTTGAGACGCCACGCTGTGCCGGAGGCAAACGAAAAAGGAGCCCATCTCTGCTTCCTTGAAAGAATAAAGTTAAACAGAGACGTGAGGGACAATATTTACCATCATGCAGTTGCCGAAAAGAACTCCAATGGCTCCCAGAAGTAAAAAAGGATGACGTTAAAGCTGGGAATTTAACCTCTTTGTGGTTCCTGGGTGGCTGGTGATGCGCTAACGACCATGCTCGTGATACGCAGACTGCCCGTCTCACCTTTAGCTCACCGTAGGCGTCGACACGTTCGTCATCTCTGCTATGTAGCGACACACAACCCCTGTGACCCCTGGGTGAGGTCAGGTCAGAGGGAAGGGGGAGCCCTGAACTTTCCCCCTTTCTGAAGTCCAGCCCACAAGATGGCCACTTCTCGCCCACTACAAAGGACTGAAATGTTAGGAAGGATTGAAATCTGGGAACCCCCCCTATCTATTTTCCCTCTCGTTTCCACACAATGACAGTCTGGCGTGCGGCAGCTCTCATGGATGCTTTGCTCCTCTTCTTGCAGCGTCGGCCGTTGTCAGCTAGCTCTGTCATTACCCGGCCACCCGTATGTGTAAAAAAAGACCTCATCCTCCCAGCTGTGCTCATCACCGCTCTTTTTAATTGCAGGTTTCACTGACTCGAAATGGCGATGAGGCTTTGGCCAGCTGCTCAGATGACAAATACAACTAATTACAGACGAGTCATTAGGATCAGTTTGGGGGATCCTCGAGGTGACCCAGTCAAGTAAAGTCCACGAAAAGTATTGGAGTAGGAAACGCCTTGGCAAGTTCTTTTAAGTCTGTTTGTAGCTGACAAATAGGATGGAAATGTACGTTAGGGTGTCTGCGACCATTTGCCGTTCTTTCCATTGGATGTTCCACCAGTCCAGTCGGCACCTCTGATCCATAGCGTGTTTGAAAAGCTGTGCAGCGTTTGCTTGTCTTGCTACTGTATGTGTTTAGTCTGGTGTCGAGCATGCACGGACATCAAAAGGTCAGGGACACGCGAGGCTGTTGCAAACACTGAGGCTGGGGTCGCTGTCGGGCTGGTTGTCGAGAGCACAAGCGCAAGTTCACACACGTGCAGCCAACAATTCTTCTGCTTGATCTTAAAGATGGAGGACGGAGCATAAAGAAAAGACAGTATTCCTGTTGTGTGAATAATTATGGGCAACCTGTCACTTCTGTAAAAGGCCAGATCACAACTGGAGGAAATGGAGGAGAAAGAGAAGAGAGGCTCTGGCACTGAAACTCTCCTTCGGGCTCAGCTTTTTCTGGCAAGAGAAGATGTGGGTTTTTTTTGCCCGTACGATGTGGGGTTTTTTTGCCCGTAAAACATAAGGAACACATTACCACAGCAGATAGTTAATGGTATTCCCCTCAAACCGACATGACCAAAACTGATCAAAATATCTTCTATTTTCTTTAAGTATTATTCAGCATTTCCTTTTTGTAATTTATACTCATTTGTATTTCACAGTTGAATGGATCCTGACATGAGGTCACTCGTGGTCCAACACCAGCTTTTTCTTTTTCTGTTTTACTTACTTCCCCACATTGTGTATCGATAAATGCATTGCGTGGTCTTCATCAGAGCATGGCATTTGCTCAGCTGTCATGGAGAGGAATTTGATGAAGACCATGTGATTTGGTCAAAAGCCCCGTAGAAAAATCAAGTAAGTAGACCTTGAGTTCAAATTTGTTTTCCTCCTTTTTAAAAAAACAATTCCAATGGTCATAAAAGAGATGAATGTTTAACAGGGACCTGCCTTTTCTTTCGTTCTGTCACTTGTTTGTTTGCTGCCTTTAAGCCGTAGCACCAGTGTTTGAATGTTTTACATTAAAGATGAGGTTGCATGGTTTAGATCTGGCATAAAAGCCCTGTAGCTGTTGGTAGATTGCTGCTGTTGTTTGGCTTGAACCCTGCCACCGGGGGGTTCATGAAACAGCCCAAACCACTGTACGCAGACTATGTTTGAACAACGCATGGCCATTGGCATCTGTGACATTGTGCCCCCTTTTCACTTTTGAATATGCTCTAGTGTGACACTTTCTACCTGGGGAAGAATCTTGGAACTTGTGTTTTTCTTTTCTTTTCATCAATTGGAAATGCAGTCCCATTTCTTCTTATAGTTACCTTGAGAAAATCGTTAAATTTTGGCTTGAATTAAATGTAAGCGAATTAACACTTCATCCTTAGAAGTTCTTAAGTGAAAACTAAGGTGAGGAGGTACAAGACTTGGCTCCTGAACTGGCGTGACCCACTGACCTCCGCTAACCCTGACGCTCATCACTGGTGCTAATTACGAGCAAAGGAGGGGGGGGAATGTCAGTATATTACCCTACCTGTCTCCTCCACAGCCTGCAGACGAATCAAAGTTTCACAGCTTGAGATGAGGACGACGCTGGAACTGTTACTGACTCTTGGATACAAATAGAGAAGAGACATGGAGAGAGGCATGTCTAGGGAGGCCTATAGGTGCTGCTCCGTGGCCCCGCCTCAAATGTTTTCCTTGTTGAGATGACATCTTCCAGCTTGCCCTTCATCTGAACTGGTTAAGAAAACTGCATTTATTCTTTGGCTAACATTGCTTACGCTAAAGTTAGAGATTTTCCAACTTTGTGGATACTGAGTTGTAACAACCAGTGCTACCCCTCGCTTCAGTCCACAGTACGCCCTTCTTAGCGAGCCACCTCGCTGTCAAAGCACCAGACAATGCCAGTCGAGGAAGACGAGGAGGATGATGAAGGCTGATTTATTCAGGGAATGGAACAGATGACGGACACGAGGAATGAAGCAGTTTATATAATGTTGTTCACAGCAGTTGGTCTACGCTTTGTGCGTGTGTGTCAGATGAGACCAGATGGACAGAAGAAAATGCCAGAGGAGAAGATGTGCTGCAGGGCTCAGAGCCAAGGGCAGAGTCATACACATAAAGAATAATGCAGTGCAGACACATTCCCATGCAGAACCTGCTCAGCTACAGGTTATGTTCATATTGTAGGTCTGATAGCACTCAATATTTATTGTTTATCAGACATTATTGTTAGATGTATTTTTTTTTTTTGCCTAATCGAGTGAAGTTCTGAACACAACCCAGACCCAATATCAATTGAAACAGCAAATGAACAACAAAAGCCTTTATGGTATGGACAGTTTGTCATAGCAAACACATTAATTACCCATCATACCCCACAAATCTGCACAAACATTAAGATATCTCACAGCCTGGATCTCCTCCAAGGTTGTTTTTTTTCAGCCAAAACAAAAACAACACGACAGCTCAGGCTGCGTTCACATGGCAACGTGAGATTACAGATAGTTTCACAGTATGACACAAATCCATTTCATTTTTCTGTCTCAACGGCACCGCAGACGAAGAAGGAAAATATCCAACTACCAATAGGCTGCTTTTACACTTCATTTCCTGTCCAATTTTAAAGTCCAGGGTCCACAAGATCCCCCCCCCCCCCCCCGATGAGCTGTGCGATAAAGATTTTGGAGGCGAGAGGATGACATCTATTCAGCCATTTAAATAAAGAAGTGAGCGTCAACAGATTGGGAAATGGAGGAAATTGCGGAATCTTCCTTGGATACAGAGAGAAGTATGGATGCAGATGTGGGCACTCAACATGGTGGTGTTATTTACTGTCACTGCATATCCTGAAGACACGAGGCGTTTCTGTTTTCACAGATTGCAACACAGAGAGGAGTTCCCTCAAGGAACAGCATGACTGTTCCTTGAAGGAACAGTCATGCATACAATGCATACTGTATGAGGATGCACTTTGAGAGCCTCACAGTGTTTGACAAAGCCAATGTCATTTTGTTTTCCCAACATGTAAAGCCTCTCCAAGGTTGTTATGAGGCTGTTAGATAAATATCTTGACTGAGATAAGAGGGCTTGTGACAGGAAGTTGATTGATTTGAATCCTCCTCCTTTTCGGGTTATTATTGCTTCTCTTTTCCATCAACAAAAGAGTGCATCTGGATCAGACTTCAGGTGTGTATAAAATGATGTGTGCCCACTTTGTCCACAGAGATGAAGTCTTAAAGAAGGAAAAAAAAAAAGTAAGCACCGGCCCTGAGGTGCGATGATTATGCAGAGGGAGCCCTCTAGAGCTGGATCAAAGTCTCAGGGAACCTGATTAAATGATGGAATGAAGGAAAGGCAGAGTGGAGCTGAAGAAAAGGACCAGAACCACTGCTAATTTCTTTTTCATCCAGGCGGCCTTGACAGCCGAGGCTCTGCCAGGTTTCTCTGAACCCTGAGAGGCGTCTCGCTCTCGGCTCCACTACGTTAGGTTTTGTCCGTTAAAGCAACTGCATCAGAGTTGCTCTATTAGTTTAGCCGTCAAAATGTCTGCACACACCAATGCCAAAGCCACCCATGTTATTTTTATTTTTTTTACCATAACCATGAAGTACATTAAAACCTTTGTACTTTGAACGCAGCACCTGTTTCTGCATGTTAAACAGCAAAGATATAAGGATGTGAAAATCTATAAACTTGTCAGCTAAACTCATCGAATAAAGTGCAACACAAAAAACAATAATTTGAGATAATATGGAACATGCTGGTATAAAATTATTTCTTGCCCAATTTTATAGAAAGATTAAACTTTTGGTTTTTCTTGTTTGTTTTTTAATTATTAATAATAAAAGTAAGCTGTTTTCGGGACAAACGCTATTATTAAAATTAATGATCTTTAAATGCACCTCATTTGATCCATTTAATCAAGAGATCCTGAACAGCACACAATGAGAAAACGAGAGAGCGAGAGATCAAAACTTAAGTCTGAGTCATGCTTCATGTATGGTGTGGTGGCGGCTGAGACAGCTGACTTTCAGCTTTGCCAACACAAACACACACACACACACACACACAGGAAGTTGAAAGTGGCATAAGGCTAACCTTAGATTTTTTTCTTATTTTAATTTTTACTGAACCAGACGTACACCGAATACTGTTTGAGGCCCACAGAGTGTAAACCTTCACTTTATTCCCTTTTTACTGCAAATTAAAGTTTTGTAGCTTTTTCCGTCTGATTTTACGGGAAACATCTGGATCTCTCGCACCGCTGGAGAAGTGGCCCCGGGTGATTCTGTGCTGCTCAGCTGTGAGGGCCCGGGATAATGAGCAGGTTTCAGACGGGCTCCTACGGATAAGCCGGCGTAGGTAGGAAGGGCTGTCCAACAGCGTTTGAGACCACCGTGCCAAACGTGCAAGACTTGTGCATCTTTGACATATCATCATGAAATATTTTCAGATTCTACAGAGAATGAGTGTATACTCCAGCATGTGTGAATTCACCCAGCTTTACCGGTGTGTGTGTGTGTCGCTGGAAGGACTTAATGCATGCAGTCCTCCTGTGATGTGTGTCACACCTGAACCGGCAAAATTAGAATTAGTCACAGAGATCCCAGTGTCACACACGTCTCCGTGTCACATAAATCACTCAATTTAAAAATCATGGCCTTGAAATGAATGCAGCTGATTTCCCTTTTTATGTGCCTCCTTTAGCCACACTGGTGAACAATAAGATTATTAATAAAAAGCAAGGGACACATGACTTGCTCTCAGCTCAGCATCCACCAAAGGAATCACGGGAAGAGTGTGTGTGTTAACTCTAATAAATAATAGGGGTTTGGTGCATCAGCAGCTGGACTATAGAAAGCCACTGTTCTCACAGGTGCTTCCTCTTCAAACCACACTGACCTTGAGAGAATCAGATATACTGGCAATACCATGAATACTTTTCTCCAACCGTTCAGTCTTTTTTTCCAGGAGATTTGATGGCGTCCTCGTCGTGCTATATGTAGCATTTGTCATCCTCTGAGTACTTTTCTTTTATAAAGCAGTTTCCCAACTGGGAAATGTCTGACTGGAATTTCCTGGCCTGTTTCTATCTAAGATCCTTGTGTAGATTCACTGCAGTTGAACTGAAAGTTTAGTGTTTGTTTTTGCTGGTGATAAAACGATTAAGCTGTTTAAAAGTGCCACTTGAAAGTCAAGATTTCAACGGTGCAAAGTTTAGCTGAGACAGCAACAGAGAGCCAGCCTACCATTTTACACCAGAGAGCCCCAACGTTAACAATGAGGTCCTTTCAGTGTTTCGATTGCATCTAACTATGTCTGGGAAACGGAGATGTAAACAATTTTAATGCTTTAAGAGTCAGCGGTAGAGAGTCAAAGGAATGAATTCAGTCATCTCTTCTATTTCCTGGCTTTTTTTGTCAATAATTATTATTTTAAAGCTGCAGGCTGAGAGTTATTGTCCTTATCTGCGGTCGTTGGGGCTCCCTGCTCGTTAAAGAGCCCAAAGGCATCGCCATTTCCAATGATTACTCGTTATTCAAGCGGACAAGCATTTTATATGGCTGAGTTTGAAACTGGCTCAAATTTCCTCCAATGAAGCTGTATATTTTATGGCCGTTTCTTTCTTTTTTGTTAAGTCTGTGTTTTCTTTCCATAACAAGAGGAAGGGGGAGAAAAAAAAGGGGAGATTTTCACACCCAGAAATGAAGAAAAACGTGTTGTTGTGCTGTTGGTCTTTTTTTCCTTCCCAATCTAGCAGCCATAACCTGACACGCAAAACACATTGTTTTATGCTTCTCTAAATATATATATTCTTTCATTATCATCTTGTTCGATGAAAATTTGCATGAATTTGACCCATTTTATTTGACTTTATTCAGCCAAACTAAACGCCATTATGTTAAAGATTAAAAGAAAAGAAAAAAGCAACCATATTTTGTTCAAAAATATGTGTTTTAATAAATAAGCAAAAACAAAAAATGCACATGGACGGAGTTTGGAGACTTGCTAAAGAAAGTCAGTGAAGCAAATCCATGCAGCAAATGACTCTAAATTGCATTGGTCCCTTTACAGGCTACAGGCGTACTTACACAGGTATGTACAATATGCATTCATCTATATATATTTATACTTTGGTTTAAAGTCTTTGAAAAACAAAATATATATATATATATCCTTCTAAAAACGATTAAAGGACGGCTTTTGTTGAAATACAGGCCGAGCTGTTCTCTGTAACATCTTTGGCCTATAAGCATCGCAGGTCTGTCTTTTCCCTCCTCTCTCTGCCACAAACAGCTCCAGACACTCAGAAGCAGTGTGATGAATCTGCATCCACACACACACGCACACACGCACACACACATTCCCCAAGAGTTTGTAGTTGTGGGTCACATTACGTCTCTCCGCCATGCCTTTGAGGTCGATGGGTTCTTCAATAATCCCTTTGGTCTTCGTACTTTGTAGAAGTAAACAGTCTGCAATGGAGGGAAGAGATACATATACAAATCATTATTTAAATGCAAACTAACTGGATGCATGACACCTATTGATTTTGGCTTTTTTTGTGTGGATATATATTTTTTATTTTGCATTCACTGGCTCGCCTAGTTCGTGGGAAGTCATTAATGAATCAGTGATTAGCCACTGAGCTGAGTAAAACCACATGGCGACTGAAAAGCAGGAAAATAGTGTATTTGAAATGTAGCCCTACAGCTGCAGTTAAATACAGAGGAAGAAAAAAAACACACACAGATTTTTTCTGGCTTTTAGTTTGAAACACCTGAGTGAATTCACGCGTTTGCATTTCGCTGTGGATTAGTGGACAGTCCTGAAACAATAAAATCTAATTCCTCAGAGCAACATTGAGCCCAGAGTCATATAAATACAAAAGCGATATCAGTATGGTCACGATTTATAATATTTGTCCAGGCCTGGACAAATATGAATAATATCCACATGTGGATGAAGATATTATTTTTTTCCTGTTTTAATCCTAGCAACCAAACATGTATTCCTAGAGAGCAGAGTACCTCATGTATGAATGCCATATATTTTGATAAAGAAAAGGAGAGTTTCAAAGATTGATATAAATGCTTCAATGTTTTGTTATTTCTTTAACATTCCATTCAACTAAAAAAAAAACCTTTTCATTTACTGTGTTTACACAAATCACTGTAATGAAGCTTATTCTTCTCCCCCACGCACCAGGGTTGGCTTACAAGACAACAAAGCCCCGCTGATGGGCTGCTAACTACATGTCAGGCCCATGAGAACCAAACAAACCCTGCTCCTATATTATTCTAACCAAAGTGACATTTAGTGTCACCTAGTTTGTGCTCTTTCACCAGTCAAACCATCTCATAAGAAGCAGCCTGAAACTACATTACCAACCTGTGCTTTTATTTTGTAATGATTTTTGTAATAATTGTCAATTCAATTACTATTTCAGCTCAAACTGACTTAACAAAAACAAGCGGGGTATTTCCTGATGTCACAATTAGGTATAGATGGTCAGTGCTGCTTGATCTTGCTTTATCTTTCAGCTCTGTTAGCAAATGGAGATTTTGGAGCTTTCACCAGTGAAAAGGTGAACGCAAACGTTTCCCCATCGCTCACTCTCACGACGTGAGCGAACCGGGCCGCAAATCTGCAAAACAACATGACCAAATCCCGACTGCTCGCCATCATTTTTTTTTTTTTTATTGTCTTGCACTGGATTATACTTTCATGTCCAGCCGAGCTGCCCATTCCTGCGGTCTCCGCACAGGAAAGCACTCTATTATGGATATAAATTACCCGCGGTGGCACTCTGCAGCTGCGTTTTGGTGCGGCCCAGAACTTTTTTGTTCTGTTTTTTTTACCTCACTCATTATGAAATGCTGATAAGAGGGACTGAAAAAGTATTAACTGCATGAATCACAACTGGTTGATTTAAAGCGTTTCTGGTCAAAAATTAAAAAAAACAGACTTATTGTCCTTTCTGGTCAGCGAGGCATATTCTCGATCCTGCGTGGCACGTGAAAACTATTATTTGTTGTGTTGTGTGTAGCTATTATTAATCTGAATTTAAGCGTTATGTTTGACTGTTTGATTGAATGTATCGACGTGTAATCTGATGGACCGGTCGTCTGTGGGCCGACCCGGACTTGCGCACAGCAGCAGCAGCCACACGCAGACGCGGAGTTGCGGCGTTGGAAAGATGCTGAGGCCTCGGTGTGAAGTCTGTCACACGCATAACAAGCGCGCGCGGAACATGCGTGCTTTCGAACGTGTGAATTAAATTTGCTGGTGCAAAGCTGATGCGCACGAGCGTTTTGGTAATCAGTTCAACATCTGGGAAAATTCACAGTATACGGGCTAATAATCCGTGAACGTGTACAGAAAAATCAGAGAAGCACTACAGATACTATTATATACATGTTCTTCTCTTCAGTTTGTGGTACCCACCGCTTTGGCATTGTAATTGAAGGTCTCTCGGGGCGCTAGTGAGATGCTGACATGGACCAAGCGCCCTCCATCCTCCACACGGAGAACGCGTAGCTGAGTCTTTCGTGCGCGACGTAGCTGCAGCTGGACATCTTGTTGTCCATCTCGTCGCTCTGCAGCACCTGACAGAGGAAGTCAATGTATCTGGAGGCGAGCTTCAGCGTCTGTATCTTGCTGAGTTTGTCCGAGGGCAGCGTGGGGATAATTTTGCGCAGCGACGAGAAGGCCTCGTTCAGAGACTGGGTGCGCTGCCTCTCCCGCACGTTGGCCAGGCACCGCTGGTTCTGCAGCTCCTCGTATGACTGGTTGCTGCTCGGACTCGGTTTCTTGACCCGTTTCACCGGACCCGGGCTGCTGCCGCTGCTGTCCTCGCTGGACTTCTTGCTCTGCCTCCTCTTCCCCGGGAAGCTTTTCTGCTGTCTGTCCAGCTCCTCCTCGCTGGTCACCAGACTATCCACAGGGGAGACCGGAGAACTGGAGCCCTCTTCCATTTCTTTCTTGAAGAAATGCAGGGATAGAGCAGAAAACGCGCCGTCCACTTTTGAAGCCGTGGTTACAAAAAAAAAAAAAAAAAAAAAAAAAAATGTGTCGATATCCGTAAAGATGAGGGGAATAATTTCAAGATGTCTCGATCTCCGCTCCTCTCGCTTCGGAAGAATCTGGATTTCGAACTTGAGGTTGGCACGCTTCTCCCCAGGCAGTGAAGTTTTTTCCTTAAATTCTTTTGGAAACTTTATCCCGGTTTCAGATGCTAAATAGTTTTGAGAGTGGAAGGGGAGGGGTTTGGAGGGCGGAGGGGGAGTTAGTGCGCGTCCTGGTCCGCTAATAAGCAGGAGGGACCAGTCTGTTTCATGTGTCTGCTGGGATGTGACTGAAACAACGCGCTTATTTACTATTCGTTTGATTTTTTTTTTCCTATTTGCGTACGATCATCCCCATTATCATGTTTGCCTTTATTTTATTATTGAAACCACAATGAATCAAATTATGAAATAAATGATTACATACAGTCCTGATTAAACCTCTTTTACGCATTTCTTATAACTATTTTATACATCTTGAATTATTTAATTTTTTGTTTAGATCATTAACAAATATTTATACAATTTTATGTAATGTAATTATATAATTTCCTCAAAAAATATGTCTCAAGATCTCTAGGAACAAGTATGCTGAGGGGCTGTAAAGTGAAACCTCAGCTTGAACCATGGCTCTGTCTGCAGGGCCTTTCAGTTCTGGTCAAACCGTCCATAAACAGTAAATAGTATGTTCCTTTCTGCGCTCCGGGCAATTTACGCACAAATTCTTCAGAATTGTGGAAATCTATCCGCTTGATCTTTAATCGAATCAAAGCCGTACGCTCTCACAGTTGCTATAATGTGGAAGTCAAACAGGAAGGAGGTTTAAACTAACCGAGGAGCTCTCCGGTTTCTGCGGATACCTCAAGTGGACGGTTTCTCCGTGCGTTTTGTCAGCGGTCCATCTCTTCATCTGTCATGTCATGCTTCTCCTACACAGAGCGGCGCACAGGTGGCTCACATTACAGAGCTGACTTTATCCACTGCCAAAATGCAGAGTTTGTCCAAATCAGCTGACTGACCTCGAGAGGTTTCTGTGGTTCTTTACTGTTGTGGCTTTCTATATATGGACAGTGTTCTTTTGCTCCCAAAAATAATGCATTTTCAGCAGTAATTTTTTTGCAAAATGTTTATTGAATCAAATTTACTTTTCTTGACACTAGAGTGAAATGTTTAATTCTGACTCTATATATAGTTTTAAAGATAAGACACTCATCATACTCTGTCCCAGGATGTCGTGTGTGTGCAGATTATAAAGCCCTCTGGGGACAATTTGTTATTTTAGGCGATACAAAATAAATGTATTTGAATTGAATTAATTGAATACATTACTTTTGCTTGTCTGTTTTGTGCAGTATAGGGTATTCTACCCACAACGTTGGATGATGTTCCTGAACTGCTTAAGGAAACAAGGCTTCAACTGTTAATGTGAATCTGATTGTACTCAATAATTGCCTCTTATTAGGGAGCAATTTTGCTAATTTACACTGCAGTGAACACTTTAGTTCACCAAGAGTATCTGAAAATAATCAAACTGCGTGTATCTTTAGTGCATGTGCCCATGTTATGTGTTCTCTACCCGTCCGGGGAGACTGGTCGCTGTAAATGGGCCAGAACCGGAAAGTTGCACAACATTGTTTTGAACCCGTGAGAGCTCGTTTGGTACTGGGACATATCTTGGTTTCCTCTTGAAAGCTCCATTGGCCTAAAGGAGACCCTGGTCTGCTTTGTGTTTTGTGTTCCCCTGGTAATGGTGACTGTCACTATACTTTTACTCAGTGCCAGGGCTCTCAATTCAGACCTGCATGCCTCCGTACAGGTCCAAAGTGTGGTTACATTCTACTGGTCTCCCTCTTTATAAAGCAGGTTATGTTTCCCACAAGAAAACAGGAAAGTATTGCTGCGCGTTGGATGAAAGGAGGAACATGCACATGTGGGAGAACGCACACAATCACACACACTTTCCCTCATTATGCCCTCTGACCTCCTGCTCCCTGGCTCAGCTGCAGGAGGCCTCTGTGCCCCGGGGAGGAGGTTCTGAGTGAGAGGCTGATCCTGCACAGTGTCTGTAAGGTATGGGTTCTGCATGTACACAAAAGGAAAAAGAGCAAAGAGGGGCCCCTGGCCAGCACTTTTCCATCCACTATATAATAATCTGCAATGATAAGCTAGCACGTATTCAAAGAGGCAAGCAGCGAAATGATGAGGAAGACAGTTCTCCCAGTCTCAAACTGATTAGAATTCATTCCCGATCATATTCCACTGCAAAAGATAATGTGGAAAAACGGCAAGAGAGCGTGAGTGTAATAATTTAACAGATTATTGTAAAACTGGCACCAGCAGCACACGCAATTTTTGTTATTTAACTCTGTTTTTGGTGTAAAATATATTACATTTTGAGCTTTCCCCATCAAAGTTGTTAGATATGAAAACAATATACTGAACTTCTCACTTAGTGCAGTGGTTTTCAACCAGGGATCAGACAGGGGTCCTTGAGGGGGTTCCAAAAGGGGTCCCCAGAATAAAAGGGGAGTAGTTTATTTTCCCTATTTATTTCACTATAGAAGTGAGACTTATTTGAGTAAGAGTCATCTCTTCAACTATATCTCCATCAGGAGGGACTTCGTTTTGGGTGAAGGAATATTTTAATTGACGTGCAGAACAGGATGAGAAGGTGAATAGTGTGGTGATTAGACCCCGTCGGTCAATATATATCTCAAAGTGGTGGTGAAGCCATAAGTATAATAGGAAACCCCCCCTATGGAGTCTACACACTGGTGTTGGTGAGAGGAAGAGAAGGCTGAGGGTCTGAATGTGAGCAGGAGAAGACTTGTGATGAGCTCAACTTTGAGCACCTTCACATGATGACTGGAGGTGAATGGGTTGCAGGAGGGCTGGGCGATTTCTCTTAAAATGACAGGTGACAGCCACAGAGAGGAGAACTGATTTAAAGTTTTGGCGCAGCGACGTGATTGGCCGACGGAGATCGTGACAAAATTAAGGTCAGCAAAGTCTGTGTCAAACTTTTTGAAATGGAAATATAGGCCTGTAATACCCATAAGAGGAAGTTTCTGGCTCGCTGGCTCTTTGTGGATGTCCATAAGTGATTCATGATTATCTTACCCAGTGCTCATTGGAGAAGAGAGGAATTTTCGGCCTCTGTGGTTCTCGCTGGAACCCCCTGAGAGAGATAAAGGGAGCGAGAGACGGCGAGGCAAAGACAGCAGAATGAAGTGAGAGACAGAGGGTGTAGAGAGAGAGAGAGAGAACGATGACCTGCCTCCCAGATCAAAGATGAGCTCGGGCGTAATTCAGCGGGCAGAATGACGTACCTCTGTCTTGTCTGACACCTTTAAAACCAGCTCCACATGAGTCCAGGCCATGGCCTTAATAAGCCCAGATCCTCTCTGCTGTCACATCAGTGAAAACACATCCTTGTCTCATGCCACGGTCTTCTGCCTTCACGTCGACCTCATAAAGGGAAACCACTGATCGCCAGACAGGAAGTGAGGCAGAGAGGTGCTGAGGGATAAAGAACAGGTTCGGAGAGAAGAAGAAAAGAAGGATACGGACGCTGACGGAGGAAAGAGGCCAAATGTATTGACACATGATGACTCCCCATGTCTTTGATCTGACGGAGAGAGGGCTACGGACGTGTGAGGGAAGTTATGGAAGGGATGATTTGTTAGAGTCCGTGATGAGTGGAATTCTGCTGTCCATGTGCCTGCAGGATCGGTTACCTTTGACTTCAACCCCCACAAACACTTGAAACGCTCACCCCAAATGATCTTGGCGAGAGGATCTAAAGCCGTGGCCTGTGTGCTGGCATATTTTCTGCTTGTGTATGCGTGTGTGTGTGTGTATGTGTGTGTGTGTTTGTGTATGTATGAGCTTTTTAAACTCATGTACAGTATCCATTATCACCTGATTATCGAACGCATTGTGTACATCTGTCTTTCCATACATGCACCTGTGTGTGTGTGTGTGTGTGTGTGTGTGTGTGTGTGTGTGTGTGTGT